ATAAATAATATAATTAATAATATATAATATGTATAACATTTTTTATTTTATATTTTTTATTAATAAATAATATATTTTATTTATATTTTATAATAATAAACAAAAATGTGATTATTGATAATAAGAAAAGTAAAATATATAAATAAAAATTACCAATAAGTATTTAATAGTAATAAAAAGTATCTGATATTGAGGAATATATAGTGGTTGATATATATCTAAATACTATATCAATATATTGAAGATATGTATTTGATAAAAAATAAATGAAATCAAATATTCAATAAATAAAGATGGTACCTGTAATTATGAATTAAGGATTTTGATATTTTTGCCTTATATCTTAATTATTAAAAATTTTAGAAGTTAAAAATTTGTAATTCTGTAATTTGAAATTATCCTTAAGTTCATAATTATTTTGTAAGTTCATAATTATTCTGTAAGTCCGTAACTATTCTGTAAGTCCGTAACTATTCCATAAGTCCGTAACTATTCTGTAAGTCTATAATTATTCTATAAGTCCATAATTATTTTAACTGTTAATAATAGATCATTAATCATGATTATCAAAATTGTGATTAATCTTATTTTTAAAATAATATTTAAAATATATATTTATAAATCTATTTATTTTGAAGTATAAGCGAACCAGTAATAAATTATTTAAATAGTAACAGAACTTGGTCAACATGTAGAAGAGAAGAAAGAGATTATATAAAGATAAAGGAAAAAGGAAAGAAGGTGAAAAGTTAAACTAGCTAAAATGAAACTGTCAATTTGAAATTGTTGAAATTACAGTTACAAAGATCATAGATACTAAAGAGAAAGAGGAAGGGAAAAAAAAGAATGTTAGAAGAAGAAGGAAGGAAGAAAGAAAAGAAGAGAAAAAAGAAATGAAGAATAAGGGAATAAGAATAAAAAAAGAATGGAAAAAAAGAAAAGTAAAATTGTTGAAATTACTAAAATTACAGTTGTAGAAGGTTACAGATATTTAAGAGAAGGAAAAAAAAGAGAAAATGAAGAAAGGAAAAAGGAGAGTATTAAAAGAAGAAGAAAAAAAAGAGAAAGGAAGAGAAGAAAATAATGAAGAATGAGAAAAGAAGAATAAAAAATAAATGGAAAAAAAGAAAAGTGAAATTATTAAAATTGTTGAAATTATAGTAATAGAAGGTGAGAAAAAGAAAGGTAAAGACAAGAGACAAGGTAAGTATAAGTTTTATTTATTTTTTTTTTTTAAAAAAAAATTCACCTTCTCACCTTTAACCATATATTTGTGAAGTTAATTTTGACAATTTCAATTTTCATGAAATAGCACATGAACCAGTGTAAGGTGAAAAAAAGAAAGGTAAAGACAAGAGAAAAGTAAGTATAAAGTTTTATTTAATTTTTTTTTTAAAGAAAAAACAAAAAAAAATCTTTAACTATATAAGTTTTTTTAAAAATAATTTTTTTTTTAAAAAAAACTAATTATCAAGTTATATAGTTTAGGATAAATTAAGAGCTTACAAATCAATTAAGGACTTATAGATCAATTAAAGACTTACAGATCAATTAAGAACTTACAAATCAATTAAGGATTTACAGATTAATTAAGGACTTATAGATTTTTATTTTAATTCTACTTGAAAAATCTGTAATATTAAGGATTTAAAAAAATAATTAAGGATACTATTTTTACTGATAAGTATATGATAAATTTGAAAAAAATATCAAAAAATTAGAGTTCAATATGTATTTGATATCTGTCTAATATGTGTTCAATATATGTTCAAACTATACATATTCCCAAAATTGATTTTGAAAACAAGTATAGTCTGAACTTCGATATGCTCATTCCACCTATTAGGTATTTAATATATTACAATTTATAGAAAATCAAATACTTATTGCATATCTATTAGATATCCAATATATCAAAAAATTTAATTAGATATAAATTTACGGAAATATCACATGACCTATAAAAATTTATACCTAATTAAATTTCTTGATGTAGGTATACGATAGGTATTTATTTTTCACAATTTGACCAGTGTATTGTAATCTTCAGTCCCAACAGGATAAGTACCTACCACCTACATAACAGTCAAATTTGACTCTTCTTTGTCAGTTAAATGAACTTGATTAATTTTAACGATAGTATCAACACAACATGGCATTGTGTAAATCATGAAAAATAAAATTAAAAAAACTTAATTTTTATAAACAAATTACCATTTATTTATACACATGTATATATTACAACACTATATAAATATATTGTATCATAATATTACAATTTCAAATTGTTCCAATTCAAAATTATCAATAAATTACAAATGAATTACATAAAAGTAATAACTTACATTAACAATAACCTAATTTCTATCAATTATCAATTATAATAAAGATTTTTCAAACTGGTTACCCAAAAAAAAGTGATACGAATGATTGCTAAAGAAAACAAACGTATGTTTTTATAACTAACAAAAATAATATTATGTTGTAACATAATATACATCCATAGTAATAAGTAATAAAATAAATTACTTGTATCGTACAAATCAAAAGTATCTGAACAAATAATATACAAGCTAAGATCATACTGGTTTTACACAGTATCACATGTTGCATAGCTAACCTAATTTAATTATTTAATATATTTAAATATAATTAAAATTGTGACAATAATCATAAATCATGATTGTGAAGATAATAATTGTAAAATTGTAACAATAAAATAATAAAATAATCAAATTATTATTGAAACTATAATATTTATATTGATTATTTAATTATTTTATAATTACAAAACTATAATCATAAAAATACATATGATCACAAAAATACATTATATGATCTTAAAATTATAATTATTAATTGTAAAATTATTTAAAAAACATCTAATTATTAAACTATATATTAATTAGTTTAATTATTATTTTGATCACAAAATTATAATCACAAACCATTACATAATATTTATAATTTATAAAAAAATGTTTTTTATTTTCTATATATTTTATTTACATTCTCTATCTATTTATCTATATTATTACATTGTCTTGAAATTATAAATTTTGAAAAATGAATTCACTTGAATTTGTAATATTATGTGTATCCAATTTAATTCTTTTTTTCTATCTAATGATAATTTGAATAGGTCTTAGCTTGCATATTCTTTTTTTTGCATGTAATAATCTTTTATCTTGAAGAGAATCAGATTCTTGAAGAAGATTTGGTTCGATTAATTCTTGAAGAGGATCTAAATTATCTGGATTTGGCAAAGGTTGATAAAATAAAACAAATGTTTTTTGATATTGTAGAAAATATTTTATTCCCCACTTTTTGTCTTTCAATGTATGTGCCAAGGTAAAATATGAATTAGCACTTCTAAATATACACTTGTATGTTCTGGATTTAGGAAAATAATTATATTTATATCCCTTCAAAACCTCAAAAAATTGACTTTCAGTACAACTAAATGTAATATTGACATTTCCCACATGTCTTGAATGTTGTTTTAATTTTTCCTTAATATGATAAACTAAAGCTTGATGTGTTTCTTCTATTGCTCTTTCAGATAAATTATACATCGTTGGTTTAATAGTATTAATTTTTTGAATTGTTTTTTTGTATTTAACTAATGCTGAAAACCTTTTATAGATCTTTCTACACATTTTACATTCTAATTGATCACTATGGGCAAAGTTAAAGTGGAAGAAATAGAATCAGTCATTATAAAATATATCTTTTTTAATACAAAAAGTAAATATAAAATATATTATCAAGTGTACTATGTATATTTATTTATTTTTTTTTAATATAAAAAAGAGAATAAATATACTTTTGTAAAAATGAATTTAAATCACTCACTCAATTAACTTTCACTGGTCAAAATAAGGCCTTTTAGCAATCACAAAATTCGGTCAAAATTCAGTAATCTTCTAATAAATTTTGGCCACAATTTGATAATTATTGAAAATTGGTAAAATTTAGAATTTCTGAATTGTTGCTGAAATTTAAAAATCTACATTATTTTTCTATCAATTCAAATATTTCAAATTTCGATCCTTCCAATTGTGTTCTGAAATATTCATTTAGGCAATATGCCGTTTCGGTCACTTTTCATCACTAATTCTGCTACTTCTGCAATTATCAAAAATTGGCAAAATTTAGAATTTCTGAATTGTTGCCAAAATTTAAAAATCAACTTACTAGTCAAAAATGAGGCATTTCGAATCTCAAAATTCAGTCAATATTCAAAAAATTTGATCAAGATTAGGACAAGATTCAGTCATTATCAAAGATATTGAAATATCAATCGAATACAATTTTCCATTAATTAGAATCGTCAATTTTTTAAATACTTATTTCTTGTCGAAATATCTATTTCGCAAGTATTCCATTTCAACTTTCAATAACTTTCTCCTTAAATTTGACAGTTCAAATTTATATTGAAATGTATTTTGGGAATGTACAAATTTGACTTAAATTCAAACTTTTATATTTATTATAATAAAAATTTTTGATTAAAATAATACAAATTGTGATTAGGTTTTCTGTTCCAATTCTCTCATAAACATATTACTACTTGGGCCAAGCTATAATCCTTAGTTTACAATGTTGAACTTTTTGTTTAATATAATGAGTTATGCAGATATTTCTAATTTTATATTTTACTTTTTGCTAAGTATTGGATAATTAAACTAACTAATGAAAAATAACAAGGGCCTTGTAACTGTTCACACTTGAAAATTAATATAATTTGTCTAAAAATTTACAAGATAAAATATACCCTTTTTTCTGGTTGGGTAAAGCAATAGATGTTTACAACAGGAAGAAATTCAATCCAAATTATTGATAACAGAAAATATCTTTAAGATAATAATAGAGAAGCTGTGAAATTTCTAGTAAAAGACTATTTTTGTTTTTTAAAGATTTTAGAAACACTTCTGTTTCAAGTTTTCTGAATTTTTTTCGAGTGATATATCAAAGTTTCATTTTTAATAAAACTGTCTACATTTTTATTTTATTAATGAATTTATTATCTTTCAAGAAAATAAATATATTCCAATAATAAGAAAAAATTCAGATTTCTAATAAAAAAAAAACAATAATTTATCAAATTCATAACAAAATTCATTTTAACCATTTTGAACTATAATTTAAATAATTTATTTTTTATCAGATTTCAGATCAGTTTTGATTCTAGGAGTAAAATCATAATTCCAACCATTTAAAGGTGGAGTGACGGTAGGAATTTTTAATTGTCGAGGAAATAATGCAATTTTATTTCCTAGTTGAGCTTGACCAAATAATCTACCTGGTAACTTTTCAAGTTCTATATTTGCATTATTTAACATTCTATATTTAGCTGCCATTTCATCATCTTGTTGTTCTTTTCGATTTCTAACAAATAATTTCCATGCTCGTTCAATAGTTTTATGCCTTTCCAAATCTTCTTCGGTCATTTTTGGAATTTCTGGGTGAGGAGTTTCATATAGAATTCTTTTTATAATTGAATATCGAGTATCAGTAATATTACTAGCTTGATATCCAGGCATTCCTGGGGGGGGGACCAGAAGGTTTTTTATTACTTGCTCGTGCCAAAATAGTTCGAAATGCATTAGTTGAGAGTTTAGAATGAGGACTAGACATTATATCAAATCAGATATAGAAATGTTAAAGATAATATGTAATTAGACTTCTAATAAATAGAATTTTTTTTACAACTTTCTATAGATATGTATATTCTTTAGAAATGTTTTCCTTAAATATACTAAGTTCTACGTTTAATGATTATCAAAAAAAATAATCAAAAATTTATATCACATGATTTTAAGCCAATCACAGTCTGTATTAAGTTCGGCAGGGATGATAAAAATTTGCTTACGTAGAATTGACATTAAAGAAATTATAATTCTCTTTTGTGAATTCTAGTAAATTTATATGCTATATATTTTGTTCAATTCTCCTTAGATTTAATCGTCTCATTTCTTTATTACAATTAACATTTAACAATGGCACAAACAATTTTACGTCTTTGTAATTACATTATTAGAGACGACTTTGGTACAAATGTCGAAGTAAGTATATATAGTATACTCGAATAAAGTTGAACAGAAATTTATTTTTATTATTATTTTTTTTTTTATATTTATTAAAAAAAGAAATATATATATAAATACAATAGCAAGTGGCAAAAGTTCTTTTACAAAAAGGACGACTTCCCTTGTTATTAATAGCAAAATTCTCGAAGTTTACATTATCCAAAACACGCGAATGTCTTTTCATATTGATACAACATAATTTAGTTTATTGGGCTGAAACAAAAGAAGGCAAGAGAATTGGAATTTATTATTCTATTGAGAAAGATGAAATTTTGGCTAGGTTGAATTTTGGTATCTATATTAAAAATGCCAACGAATGGGTTGGTTGTAGGGTAAATTTTTTTCGAATTTTTTTTTTTTTGTTTTGTGATATTTTTGAGTCAAAATAAACTTAATTAATGCTAAATTTTATTCCTGAATGAAGGAAGCGAATGAAATAATTAAGATTATATTGCTTAATGGCAAAGCAACATTTCAAGGATTAATTGAAGATATGAAAATTTCAAAACGAACGAATAGTAAGAAAATTTACTTGAGATTTATTCATTCTCACTCTCTTTATTTACTTTCCTTATTCATCACCACACTCTTTTATTTAGAATACAAAGACGCTAAAGAAATTTTCTTAAAAATGATCGAAAAAAATTACATCACACCGGTTAGTTTTTCGGATTCAAAATCAGCTCAAGATAAAGCATCAGAAGCCGAACAACGTGAATTAGCAAAAATGACAAGTTTCATACCTACTAAAAAACAAATGGCAGAAGTTAAGGCTAAACTTGCCGCCGATATTAGCACGGATGATATTTCAACTGGATCGGTAATAATATATATATATATATATAATTATCTATTAATGATTTCCTTTATAATTTCTTTAACGACTTCCTTTTTGATATTTTATTTTAGAAACGAAAAATCAATTCCGAAACACTTGATAGACCTGCCAAGGTTAGTCTAATTGATAATTTATTTTAATTTAATTACGCATTAATTTTTTTTAATATTTTTTGTACAATAATAATATAAATTACAGCAACGAAAAGGAGAAGCAACAGGAGAAGTAACATTAGATGTAAGTCTTTCTTTAAAGTAATAATTCATTAAACTTTTATCATATTTTAACCAATATTGAATTTTTTTTTTTTTTGAATATTAGGAAAATCAATATTATCGTGTAAATTATGAAAAATTCAATGTTAAGGCGAGAAATAAGGTTTCCATTCTAATTAATATTAATAATCTCCAGTCCAATAATAACAAATTTAATAATAATAATAATAATAATCAATTCAATATACAATTTTGTATTTAGAGATTTGAAAAGTTTGTTACGGCCCATATCAATAAATCAGCAGGAATAATTATGAAAACTATACTCAACGTTGCTGATGACGATAAAGTGGATATTATCGAATCTCGTTAGTATTAAAATTCTTGAATTATATTATTATGTTATTATTAATTTATTGTCATTATTTATATAGGTTCAATATCATCACAAAGAATAATTAAGAGTATTCCAGTTGAAAAATTTGAATTATTAGCTTCACAAATTAAAACGGAAAGGGGAAAATCTACTCGGGAAGCACTTGTTCGACAATATTTAGATTATCTTATAGAAGATGAAACAAAAGTTTTACATAAAAAAGATGAAAATTTAGGTGGAATGTATAGTATTAAATATCAAGAATTATGTGAATCATTAAAACGTGAAATCTTTGAAGATATTATATTAGAAAAGTATGGAATAATGGGATTAAGAATAATAAGAGTATTAAATTCTAAACAAAAATTGGATGAAAAATCTATTACTACATTTACTTTAATGAGTTTGTCTGATGTTCGTCAAAAGTTAACGGAATTACTTAACGAAGGATTTGTTCAAATTCAGGTAAATTTTAATTAATTAATTAATTAATTAAATTATTCATTTATTTATTTATTCATTTATTTATTTCATACTTTATTGGAATTGTTTACCATTTCATTTCTAACAAATTAAATATTTTTAATAGGAAGTACCAAGATCAGCTGATAGAGCACCATCACGTACTTATTATCTTTGGTACATCGATTACCAAAGATGTTATGAAATAATATTAAACAAATATTATTTAACTTTAGCGAATATTCATCAAGTCAGATTTTCTCAGGAAACTTTAGCCGCAACATTATTAGAAAAGAAAGAAAATGAAGAAGCTTTAAAACAATTAAATAATAATAGTTATATTCAATTATTAACTGAAAATGAAAAAAAATCATTAAATGATTTGGAACATCTTTTAAATCAATTAGATACATCTCAATTAAGAATTATTCAAGATATTATGTTATTTCGAAATTTTAAATAATATAAAAATATTAATAAAATTGAAATTATTATTATTATTATTATTATTTTACTTTTTATGCATTTTACATAAACTACATAGTAAAATATAAAGTTATACAAAAAGAATAAAGACAAAATCTATCACCCGACTTGCCGTCACCTGAAAGGAAATCGCAACCCGTAAATATGATTGAGAAATTTGAGAATTTTTTTATCTAAAATTTTTTTACTTTGGTTTTGCATTTTAAATAAATAATATATTGTATCTTATATAAAACAACTATCAAACATGCAATCCCATTTGTTGAGACAAGAGAATGCCAGACTTATATTAGAATTATGGATTACATAAAAACTCAAAATTCAATAACTATTACTACTTCACAGATATATCAAATATATATGCATGTTAGGAATTTTCCAGCCAAAATTAAGAATGGCAGTTTGTACAAACTGTCATAAATTATATGATTCTAAGATTGTTAGCAACCATAAGGAAAACAATAAGTTGACAATTATGCATTGAAATTATGAAGAATTTCCCAATAAGCTGATACCTTCATGTAAGAATTTATGTAATAATGAACTCTCATCCATTAAAAGAAATATGAACAGTAAGGTAGCTATTTTCAAAATGCTATATCCAAATCTCTCAATTAAGCATTTTGTACTAGATTTTTGGTTTAAAAAAATGCTGGATCAAGAAATAGTAATAATAATATTTATATGATGGAAAGTATACATTTCCTTTTGATGGTAGGAGATTTTTAGTCCTGAAACTTCATTCTCAAATTTAAGCTTATTAATAAACCTGAACTGGTTCCAACCCTTTAAACATATTCAACATAGCATTGGTACTATTTATACTTCAATATGTAATCTTTCAAGGGCAGAGTGGAAATAACATAATTATGTTATTTCCACTTAGTGTAGGTTATTCCCTATCAGAATGATGTGTTGATTGCAAAATTCAAGTTATTCGAGTGATGGGTTAATTGCAAAATTCAAGTCACTCGAACTGTCATATATCAAATTGGTAATCTACCTGATTTCTATCGTCATATCACATATGACACATTGTATACCATTTTGGCATTCGTGATTAGTTTTAAAACTAGTAAGCTCCCCGATTTAGGTTATGAAGTTGCACGTGCGACTACTCTGTATAATGTTTTATAGCTTCTAGATTTTTAAATTCGGTATCGAAATTCGTATAGTATATGGTGACTATATTTGATTTCGAATATAAGGAGCTTCCCGAGGTAGGTTATGCTGGAAAAGAGTTAGCTGTAGGTTATTCCCAGTCAGATACATGATGACAAAAGTTAGCCATCGTCGTCGCACCTGTATATCAATTTTATATATGGAGTGATCAGTTATATCTTGGTTACCACAGACATTGAGAGATTCTAAGTTGGGATATGATCGGGAAATTTCTATAAGTGATGTATCAGTAAAACTTTTACTTTGTTCAAAATTTAGACTGGTTATATTTGGGTATGAGCGTAATATACTTAGAACTTTTTTATCCGAGAGCTTAGAATAATGGGTAATTTTGAGGCTTCTTAGGCTTGAACTATAAGATAATTTCTGTTTTTTACATGTCGACGTTAAAAATTCTTCTAAAAGAGTAATATCTTTACCGGAAGCCAATGTTCTATCTCCTACAAACTCGAGGTGAGTAACTTCAGCTGAAAGCTGACTCACATCATTGCTAGTATTGATTCCATTTTCTTTTATTTCGGATAGCATTTTTTGTGAACTATATTTATAATAATATACATTCAAAGTAAAAAAATAATCAATCGTGATTATTAGGATTTTTATATATTACATTACACGTATACCACCTGTGATACATGTTGAGAGTCGAAGTGCCATTTATTCCAAAATAGGTACATACTACATCTAAATTAAGTAACAAACAAGAATCGTGTGGTACATACACTGGTCGAAAATTGATAAAACATACACATATCGGGTACCCGATATGTGCATGGTGTGTCCCTAATATCAGGCATATATCGGATACTTGATAAGTGTAGAAAATATTTTTTACACTTATCGAGTACCCGATATATATATATAAAATATTTTCTACACATATCGGATATCCGATATATGCCCGATATTAGGGAAACACCATGCACATATCGGGTATCCGATATGTGTATGTTTTATCAATTTTTGACCAGTGATATGAGGAATTGTCAATTATTGACGATATACGCACAGATGTTTTTATAGGTGAGCGATCATCCGATGCACAATAATTAACATAAATAGTACGAAATTGCCATGTATTATGATTTATTGCTTCGATTTAGTACGAGATATAAAGAACCAATGTCATGGATCATTAACGTTAGGTTTTAATTTATAAAAACATGTCGATATCGCTGAATTCTCAGGTAAGAGATTAAGTCATACCAAACATCAAAATCAATAATTAATCGATTTATCAATTGCAAAACAAATAATCACGAAAAATGCAACTCAACATTTCTAATATTTTTTTATTTACAATTTTCATCACTGTAATCGTCATCTATGAACTATATAATCAGAGCGTCTTAACAATGGAGATGATTTATTCTGTTATCTCAGAAAATACAATATTCTATGTAATTATCGCTGTAATATTTATTTATCTACAAAAATATGTATCCCCATCTTCAATCCCAATTTCAACTCCGATCCCAATTCAAACTCCAATTTCATCTACAATGGATGTGAATATAAAAGAATTAAAACGAGATATGTTGGCTCTAAAAAATGATCATGCAAGAATAGAAAATGATTTGGAATGGAAAAGTGAAGTTCGAAGTAGAGGTTTGTGTTATATTACAAGTTTAGCGTATATTCTACATGTTGATTAATATGGTATATATTTCTTTATTAGGGTGAATATCCGTGCAGAGCGAATATCCTGATAAAACTCAAACTCTCTGGATCGAATTTACCACCCTATTTGATGAGAGAAGAAAAAGAGTAAAATGCTTCCTCTCAAAAATATATAATGCTTTATCTCAAGAAATTAATCTCAGTCCTGTAACACTTGCAACCTTTTACCAGCACCAGAGAGTATTACAACGTACCTCATTGGATAAAATTGCAGATTGGGTTGAAAAAGAAAACTGAAAAAAAGATAACTCTCTTATTATTAGCAGTAGTAGCGGTAGTAGTAATAGAGGCGGAGAGCCATTTCTCACAAAATAATAGTGGAACTAGTGTCTTACCGACACATAATTTTTCAAGTAGTAATAATATCCATGGTAGCTCTGCTATAATTTTAGATGATAATAATGATAATAACTTAGCTAGTAATATAGAATAGGGAAAGGAACTCTTATTTTATGGGTTAGAGCTTGAGATATTCCTCCCTTTAAATGTCTGCTACTTCACGATTCTTTGCAGGCCATTAGGTGATTCTATGAATTATAATTTAACGTAAAAAATAATGTTGAAATATATAATTATTATCAATAAAGTTATCAATTATTTGTTATTTAATTTGTGATTTCGTAAGTGTTTAATAATTGAGTATGAATCTGATCGTGGTTGTAATTTATGCAACCCATGTAATCACGGAAAAATGATTTATGCATTGTAGTTAAAAATTTGTACGAATTGATTATAAGTTTTTTGGTAAGCTCTGTATAGCGATTATAACTTTCTTTTGATCAATGCGAAAAGAGCAATTAAGAAAATAGTGATCATTTTTACCTAGGTAACTTCACATCAGGAAATTTTTAAGGGCGAATAACTCTGTAAGTTTTCGGAATGTAAAATTTTCATAAATTTTTGCATAAATTTCTGTAAATTTTTGTAAATTTTCAAAATTTTTTGATGTAAAATTTTGCGAAAATTTTTGTAGAAATTTTCGAAATTTTTTTATATCAAAAGAATTCGTTTAATTTTTACAGAATATTACAAAAAGCTTTTCGTAAATTTTCGAAATTTTTATTGCACAAAATATCACGAAAAATGTAATATTCCATTTAATAGACTAAATATGTAACACAAAATGATTTTGTTTATTTACCTAAATGATCTTGTTTATCTT